CACTGAATCGTGTATTTTTTTCACAAATATATCAAATATACTTACATTTGAACAGAAAGATAGATTCTTGAATCGAGAATCAAGTAAAGATGCATACATTCCATAATCATGTAGCAGGGACCATCGACTTGACAGGTTAGATAAAATTTCTTCTTTTACCTTATTTATAATATTGAAATCACTATCTGTATTATTTAGTCGATGAACTAATTCTTTAATTGTTGGAACCATTATACTCAATATAGCATAATTTGATCCGGAAAGAATTTCCGTGGCTTTATCAAATGGATATAAAAGTTCAACAAGAGCCTTTACAACTTTAAATTCTTTATTTGATAATAGCTTGTCATGAATATTAGCACCATCACGATGATAATCATTATTAGTTAAATTTTCAAGGTCATTAGCTAGCCACTTAATTGGACGTTCGAGCTCAGCAAGTCTTTCAAGAGCCATGTAGGTGGAATTCTACCATGTTGCCATATCTGTTATTACATTAACTATATTAGCTTTTAATATACCTACTCTGATTTGAGCTTCTTTTAATTGCTTTCTTTTTTTTTCTCCACTCAAAAGTGAAATCAAAGCTTTGCATTTTATAAGTAAGTTATGTGCAACTTCCAAACCTGCTTCAACACTTAACTGCAACGTGTACACAGCACAAAAAATATTAACAATTGGGTCTGATACTGAAAGTCTTGCTGATAATCTTGTAATAGCTAATTTGATATTAGAGCCATTATCTGTGGTTATACTTAATATTTTACTTCTATTTAGACCAAATTCTTCAAGCATAGGTTCGATAGTATTAATGATATTATCAGCAGTTTTATACGCTCCCATTTCAATTACGCCTAGTGTAAGATCATAAATGCGAAATTCATCTGAAATCCAGTTCAAGAAAATATGGCTCCTGAAGAAGTGGCTTCCAAAGAAGTAACTCCAGAAGTTCCAAAAAAAGTAATAACCTATCTTTACATTCTTGAAAGTTTAGGTTTTGATGAAGAACAGTAATATGTATAAAATAGTCAAATAAAATTAATAATAATAATAAAGAAAATAAAATTTTTTTATTTTTTATTTTTTTTTTTTATGTTTCTAGCAAGAGTATTGAATCTTTTCTTGTCAACTAGTATCCATTCAAGAACAACTTTGAATGACAGAAGTATTAAGTCAGGATACTTTGTCGTCTCAATTGGTAAGAAAAAAGAAGAAAATTGTTGATAAAATTGAGACAATAAAGAAGTATTGCCTTAGTAAAGAATACCAAGTTTTTAGGCATAAAGAATTGTAATTTGTATTTCTCTTTTTAAAAGAAATAAAGATTTTAATTTTTCAATTTTTTAAATTGTTTAGCAGTTATTTTCTCAAATCCACAATATATATTTCTAACGAGCTGTATAGTTTACTTAGCTTATATTTTTGAAACAATATATAAACTCTTGTTGCTTGCGTTCATAGTCGGTTGGCACCAGATTTTCTAAATTTTTCAGTTATTATTGCTATTATCAGCAAATAGCTTTTTCAGATAATATACTATTTCTAATTGAGAAATTCGTTTGTTATTGTTTCTTTTAATTTTCCCATAGGCTTTAACGATTTAATTAAAAATTATCAATTTATCATTTCCAGTCAAAGGAGAGACAAGTATATTTTCTTCTATAGAGCTTCAGTTTAAATCTCTTATTATTTTGGCAAGTAGAGAATCTTCATTATAAAACTCTTTCTTAATAGATTTTCCTTCTCTATGCTCATTAACAGAAGGTTCTTTATTTTATTTTATTTATTTTTTTTAAGCAGTTCTGTCTTTATTTATATAAACTACTATAGAATATTATAAAAAAAGTTGTACTCTATTTCTAAGTGTATTGTTTTAATCTAATAAAAACTCACCAGGTATATACTCAATGCGACCTGCTATAACAATTGTTAACCTCTCATGGGATCCTTAACTTGCTAAGGATTTTGTATCAGATAACGATACTTCTCTTGATTATTAGTAGGCTGTTGTATGCCTTGTCAGAACTACATATCTTTCTTTAAAACTTTTCTACCTAGGTCTGGGCAAAATAGTTTATCTTTTACATTTGTATAAGGGAAGAAAATAAATATCATGTTTACAAAAGAAAAAAAGATTTAGAGAAAAAAAAGAACATATAGAAGAAAAGAAGAAAGAAAGAAAGAAAAAAAAGAAAGAAGAAGAAAAAAATAGCCTAAAAATAGTTTGATAATAAATAGACAAAGATGAGAAAAGCAAAAAAAAAGATTGGTAATTTTAATATAACAATCTAAGTAGCACTATTATAATCTGTACTAGGCTTAAAAAATTATATACCAAATGCAATATTTGTATATCTCTACTATAAAGTTATATCTTAACAGAAAATTTCTTCTCACCTATCCGAATATTTGTGTGTAGCTTATTAGATAGAGGCCTCATCACGTAGAGTAGCACCATATTCGTTAGTAAACAAAACATGTGGTTGCAATCTACTGCGATGTCCCAATTTGTATGGAGTAAACAATAGCAGCTATCTAAACTTTCAATAACTTATGCTATAGCTTTACCCATATACTTGAGAGTTATTTACCTTTACTATTACTTACTCTTTGTTTTTGTAAGGTTTATATAATCCCAGTATATATATTCAGACTTTTCTTTTTTTTCAAATTCTTTACTAGTCTCTCCTTTACTTCTAGCTAGCAATCTAGAAGGGTTGGTTTGCCCAGGCTTTATATACTATATGGGCTCCCTTCCTTTGGTACATACTTCCAGAGCATATGTCCTTTTTCTTCTAGTATTGGTGATCTGGTAGTTTGGCTAATATGTCCTCCTATTAAAGGACCTAGTCATTTGGTTCTTTGATATTAGTTTCTGGTTCCAAATTTGGTCTTTCTATAGCACCATCAAAAGTCATACTACCTCTTAACTCTGGACTTGCCAAATAGGTTTTCAGTTATTCTGGTTCTTTAAATTTATTACACCAAAGCTTCTATTCTAGATTGTGTAATTAAGATTACAGATTAGAATCTAATTAATAATAATAGTTATTAACTATAATGCATAGCTATTTTTTGAAAGCGTCATCCTTGGGATTCAAACTCTAGATCTGCTATCTGGGAGTATAACAACTTCACCACTTCACTAAGTCACCACATCCTTTTAAATTTAATTATTTAAGTTAATATAAATTATTTTAGATTAATTTAAACTAATTCAAATAAATTATATAAAAATATATAATTAATTGCAATATATTTATTGCTGTTTTCAAAATAGTTGAAAATAATAAAAAAATATTTTTTTTAGAATACACCAGTATATGTATATATACACACAATTATTTTTAAAAATTTATATTATATAACTTTTGCATATTTTATACACTCCTTACATGACTATGCACCCCTTGCATAATTATATATAATTATATATATTTATATATATATGCATAATTATACAAGAGGATCCCCCAGACTTTTACATATTCCAACAGGGAAAAAACCACTTTGGTTTTCTTATTTAGAAGATACTATTCTTGAAAACAA